GACAGCGCCTCCATGGCAGCGCCTCCAGGACGGGGCCTTCGTGGCGGAGCCGCCACGACAGCGCCTTCAGGACGGGGCCTTCGTGGCAGCGCCACCCTGACAGCGCCTTCGTGGCAGCGCCGCCATGACAGCGCCGCCATGACAGCGCCTTCCCGCCCCGGCGCGGGTGGCACCGTCGGTTTCGGCTGCGCTCCCGTGTTTGGGCTTTGCGTGCTCTTTATCGGCCATAAAGGCGACTTGTCAGGGGGACAGATAGCGGCCAACAAGCTCCAAGGATTACAGAACTATAGAATAAGGGTTAAGGGGTTGGAATGGACCTGAAAGATCCTGAAAGATGATGTAGTTCTGCCTTCCAGCAGAGTAGGTTGCTCAGAGATCCGTCCAGACTGGCCTTGAACGCTTTATGTGGATGGGCAACTTCCCCGGGCAGCCTGTTCCTGTGCCTCACCGTCCTCACAGGAGGGAATTTCTTTCTAATAACCAACCTAGGTCTTTCATAAAATAAAACAAGATACTGTATGTCAGTAGAGCCGGGTAAGTGGTTAGCACCTCTTAGTCAAGGACATTCTGTGGCAAACAAGCTCTATGGATGAAGTAAAGGTGTTGATGGATATACTGCCAACTTGGCAAAAGGCTTAAGGCACATGCATCCTGTAGAACCCTAAAATCATCAGGGTTGGAAGAGACCTTTAAGATTATCTAGTCCAACCATCAACCCAGCACTATCAGTGTAACCTCTAAATCACAAAACCACGTAATCCAGCGTCAGATCAAGATGCCTGTGTCTGGATATAGGTGAACTACCTTCATTATAGTACTAAAAATCACGTCTACAGGTCAAAAAGATGCCTATCTAGGTGAAGATCCTTCCCCTGAGCATGCATAGCAGTCAAGTGAGACTACGTAATTATTTGGTAATTATTACCAGTTATACTTGGGTGTTTATTAACACAACATTTTTGTGTGTAAGTAATGGCATGGAAAGCCCACTGGGCTGTGCTTGATTTGTAAAATAAAAGCAAGCACCCAGGCTTGTGCCACTCCAAAGTAAGGAAATAATGTCTCTCCCAAGTGTGTAATTATTGGCTTGTTGCACACCACGTAGGTGAGTCTGAATTTTGTGGACAGAAACCTCACAGCAGGTCCTGATGAGAGTGTGGCATGGCTGGTTTTCTTAAATTATTGTTTTTTTAATGTTCTTTTGGTGCTGAAGGATAAGAAATACACCATGGGAGCAGAAGCTTGCACCAGGTTCAGGAAGGAGAAGGGGGAAAAAGCAGAGACCAACTTCAGGTCAGAACCCTGGGTTTAGTTTCG